CTTTCTAATAGCTACATGCATGTACACGTAGATGAGAGGTAGGAGCTATCTAAAGCATCTCTAAAGGAGACTCACTCCTCTAGAGCAGTCTTCGCGAAGACAGTGATTAGAATTTGGCTTTGCTTCGTATCTCCTCAAAATAGCAGCACTCATTCTTTCCTCTTACTGGGTTATTTGGTTGTGCTGGCTGGTGATGATTGCTCTGTTTGGGAAACAACAATGAAGGCAGGGTCTGAAATGCTCTAAATATGCATGCAAATAATAGTCTCACAAACAAATAGAGAACAATGTTCTTTTCTCTCACATTAGAGTAAGTACATTTGTTTAGCTTGTCATTGAAATTTCAAAAATGTCAATCGATGGCTAACAGTTACCCACTCATTTTCATACCATTTTGAAATACATGTACATGACATGTAAATGTGTACGTACATGCACAAGTACAGTATGTGTACAATTGCACATGGTCTAGAATGTACATGTACTTAATTTCACCTACTGTATAGTGGAAAATTTTCATGGCCCAAAATTTTCGTGGATTTCGCGTTTTTTTATGACAATAAAATCGGCGAAAGTTGATTCAATATGGTTTAAGATGGACGAAAAGTAGAAAACCACAAAAATGAAAGCCACAAAATTGACTTTTGAACTGATCTACAAAATTTTTTGGCCACGAAAAATTTTCACTATATGGTATTATACCATGTATTATCATAAAGTCCCAAGATTTAGTTCTCATAAATTTTTGTGTACATGTACCTGTATGCTGTAGGTTGCACTTACATGCATGTGTAAGTCAAGCCAGCCAAAATAATCTACCCTTTACAAATGTAGAAGTGTAACATTGTCATTCCATTTAAGAGAACTACCAGAATTAAAAGCTTATTAGATTCAAGAGCTATTTAAGTACTTTAAACTACGGTATTAACAATGATTTACATGTACATGTAACTGCCACTTAGACATGTACATGTATATGCATGCTTATTCACAACTCTACACTAACAAACTAGGAATATAAACACCCATATTATCATGCACACAGATGTAATGGTAGTTACATCTAGATTGTACCTCTAGAGGTTGGTTGGGGCATTGGCTTAACTATGAAATAAGTGTATAATGTTAAACAAAATTATAAAAGTTATTCGTACATGCATGAACAACCTTAAAATCTTAGAATTTAGGGATTCCATTCGGATTCCAAAAAGAGCATACTACACAATGTATATTCCAGAATAGGTTGCACCCTTCGGATAGGGCTATTAAAATGTTATTCTTTAACTGCTCCTAGCCTTAATTTTATAAATGAAACCGATCATTAAACTATTTTTACATTCCTTTGTGCAACAAAATATGGCAGGAGTGGCAAAATTAGAATTCCAGCAAGAATTGAGTTTAGGCCACATAAAGAAGACAGCAACTGGGACACTTTCATACTTTTAGTTTGAGTATATAAAGATCATAAGGTTGAGATTTTAAGGTTAGCATTCGGGCTTAGATTTAGCCACATCTCTTCTACAGTGCCACCTCTTTGTGATCCTTTACTTCAATACCAGATAAAAAAATCCAAAATCAAACCTTAAACCCACCATCAACTATTCAACTTTGCCTTTGTCACTAATTTGTGGTAATTTTAATTACATGTAGCTCACCCTTTAGTCCCTAAAATAGACCTACCGTACCAGACAATTCATTGGCGAGGAATTAATATAGGCAGTTGGCGGTTCTATGAAGAAATCGCCAATATAAAATTCCCCGTTTTGTTTTAAACTGAGCATGCTCAATAGCAAATGGTACAAAATTACCAATACAAATTTTGCAATAAACTTTCCCCAAGCAAATTTGCCAAATGTTACTCTCGCCAATAACTCATCTTTTACAGTATTTGTAGGGACTAAACTTGAGAGAGTTGGCACTGACATTACTGAATGCCAAAATCACAAAGTTCACCTGAGTTGAATAAAGGTGGGCTTCAACACTTTCATAATAATTATGTTCCCAATTACATGTTAGTAACTAGTTACGCAGGCTGAACCCTCAAGGGCAAGGTGCGCCTGACAAGTTGGCAACTAACCTGTCCTCTATAAATCAAGCCATGTTTGGAAGCAATATTATGAGCTGTGTCAGGGCCACCAGATATCTTTATTGCCCACGTATTACTATAACTAGCAGTCATCGGATCAGTTTCTCTAGAGAAAGGAAAATCAAGAGAGCGTCTTTCAGTGTAACAAATTGCCAAAGCCAATAAAGACAAGTAGTAAAGGTATCCAATCATCATCGTCATTGTGTGAAATTCTTGTGTTGATATTGCATATTGATTTATGCTGACCACACCCATGCCCCGCCTAAAAAGTAACATGATGTTAACTGCTATCTTCTGTTTCTCTTTATTTCTGCTCTCTGTTTTGGTCCTTTTCTATCTAAAGCACCATCGAAACAGTGCTAAACAACCCGTTATCCTTCTGTTTATAGATGCACCCGATCCGGATAATCCAGCAGCAGCGTTAGCCTTGCTTAAACACCTCCAACCAAGTTGTTTGCACATAATCTTAACAGGTAGACCGGTGGATTTCCATATAGGAAAATATAAATCGAATATTTATGAACGCCACGGTCACGAAAAGTTTGTGATAAACCATAGTGAAAGGTTATTGGAAGATTCTGCTGCTAGATTAAGTACTTACTTTGATAAGTGCAACATTGGGCATCAAATAAAACTTTATAATGGTGGCATTGCTCCGTGTGCTCCTCTGTCAGATGCTGTTCATGATTGGGATTTCTTGTATGACCGAAAGGACTTGATCACATTGAATGGATGTGACGAAGGAGAAATATTATCTCCAGAACAATATGAAGAACTTGTCTCAAAATACAATGAAATGTCTAAAGGCAGACGGGAAAGAGAGTTCTTATCAATTTTGAGATATTTTCATTTAATTCCTCTAGATAATCTAAAATGTGAAATCTTACGAAAAAGCTGTCGGGAGATTATTGTGTACATTGGTGGTCCAACAACAGCAGTGCCACAATTGTTCGACTCAGAAGTTCTCAGACTGAAGGTTACTAACCTTTATGGTATGTTTGGTGCACTTGAACCTGGTAAAGGCACTCTACTTAAAAATCAATTTAATGTAGCATGTGATATTGAATCAGCATGTCAAGTATTTGTTGAAGATATGTTTCCAAAGATTAAAAAGTTTCTAATTACTACTGAAACTGCAAAGATGAGACCACTTATTGTTAGTTCCCATCATTTAAAACAATTCGGAGCATTCTCACATGTAGTTGAATTGCAGTTATTATGGGAGTCAACTCATAAAAATAAAGAGCAACCTCTGTTTGACGTTATTCCTGTTATGGCTTCACTTGACAAATATGAACCATATTTCGTATGGTCTGAAAAGAAAGCAGTTTTAAAAGATAAGCAATTTTGTCTCTTGAATTCTCACTCTAGCAATCTATTAGTGTCACATGACTTTGTTGGAAATATTGACTTATATGTCGATTTTCTTGTTAAATTATGGTATTGAAAGTTTGAAATAATTGTATTACATTATATTAAATCTAATCTAGAGGGAGATAGTCAATCCAACCTGACTAGGCGGGAGATGGAATGAGCTCAATTTTTCCCCCATTTTTTTCTTGTACTTTAATATTAATTTTGACATGACCACAGTACTTTGATAAATTAAGCTCAAATATTGGAGTGAACTCGCAGTCAGGTAGAAGCTCCTTGACTTCATTGATTTCTGCAGCTCCCACAGAAACCTTTTTTGAACCATGCACATAATCCAAAAACTCATTGCATGTAGCACTGTAGCTTGGTATCATAACACAAATGTACAGATTATTAATTGGTTTCAAAGCAACCACATTTCCAACGCGACATTTCTTGCTCAAAATAGGCCTAACAGATTCCTCTTTATATAAAACAGCATAAATTATACAGCCTTCACCAGATAATGGCTCTTGATTACACACCACATAACCAGAATGAGTATCACTTTGACCTTGAATTTTTAAAAAATTGTCATAGTAGATATGTAGTTTTAAAAACTTACTACTTCCAGACTCAGTTAACATGAGTGATCCTTCATCTGCAGATGACATTGCAATCCAAGTAGACCCTATTTTTGCATCCAGTGGGCCAGCAATCCCTTGAGACTCTCCATGAAAATAAAATGCTCCAACTTTACTCTTATGTGGAAACATGAAATTGACTTTCCCATTTGTTGGAAGAATGAAGACTTTCCATGCCACTTCAAGAGTTTGCTCACTTATAGGAACAGGATACTTCCTTCCAAATACTAAAATAACCAAAAACTCGTCAGATATTTCACTTTCTACTTCAATTTCAAAATCACCAAAACTCTCTCCTTCCATTTTCACAAAGCTAGGGCAAATGCAAGCTGCCAGGAAGCAAACAGCACCAAAGTTGCAAGTATAACAGTAAAATTAATTATTAGATCAAATTAATAAATCTAGTTATACAACAAAATAAAAATTAATTATTGTTCAAAACCAGATTTTACTGTTTGTATGACTTTCCCAGGTTGAGAAGATGGTATCTTCTGAGGTGAAACTTGTTGCAAACTACCCCAGTTTTGACTATTGCATGACATCCAATCTGGCAAGTGGTAATCTAAAAGTTTAAAATCTTCTTTTGTAATAGATCGTTCAAGAATAGCAGATTCTACAGCACCAATAATTGATGCTGCAATAAATTAAAGTAAAAAGGCCACAAAAATTTGAAACTATACCTCCTTGCCAGGCTGTATAGTTTGGATGTGAATGAAGTTCATGAAATTTGAACTTTAAGGCATCCAAACATTGATACCGGCTATTGCCACACAAGAGTCTTATCTCTTCCAATAATCTGTAGCTACATGTACATGAACATAGAAAAGAAATAAAATACAATCACACAGTTTCAATGAGTTACTTCAATCCTGGTAATGATGCACTTCCTCCTACAACAACTATATTTTCACACAATTGAGATCTGCAATCAATGGGACACTGTATACATAGAAGGACATATAAGTATGTCATTGTTCATGGTACAGCAAACAAAAATAGCATACCAGCAGCAATGATTCCACTAAACTGATGGGCAAGGACACATCCCCATCACAGCCTTCAAAAAGAATGTCTGCAACATGGCACCTTAAAAATACAAATTCAATGGCAAAACTTAGATCACAGTACTGTATTTGTACATGCATGTATCACGTATATTTCTTGCAGGTAACAAAAAAAGATGAACCGACTTAATGAAAGGCAGATACGTGTACATGTACCTCATTTGTACAAAAACAGGCAAGCAAAACTTTAGTGGGAGTAAAATAAAATTCTTTTTTGTAAATTTAACTTATATCTTGTACATGTACACAGTCTCAGCCAAGCTTTTGTGCATATAATCACTTGAAACTTTCCAATTATACAGTAATCATTATAATATATCAAGATATAAAAAAGTACTGATTGAACAATCACTAGAAACTTTTACAGCCAAATAATGTATTTACCTAACTAGTCCACTTATGATGAGACTGAACTGAGCATTAATAGGAAAACATACATCAGGAGGTGTAGCATCACCAAAATCAAGTGACCGAACAAAACATGTTTGCACTACAAAGAAAATATCACTTACATTAAGTAGGCATTGTACATCTACAAGTACATGGTAGAGTCAATTGCGCTCCTGTACATGTACACATGTACATACATGTACATGTACAATACATGTATGCACACAAATATAAGCTGCATTTCTAAACCAATACAACAATTACTGAGTTTGCTTTAATATGCAATCATGCACTGCTTTGGGGACAGTAGCCACTTAGCAAAACACATGCATACTAGGGCTGAAACGAATAGTATTTTCCACTATTCGAATAATTGGCATGCTAAACGAACGAATATTCGAACAATTGAACTGTTATTGCTGAATGATTATAAACTACAGTACCTTTTTGGTGTTAAACTTTTCAAAATGGTGCCAAACAGGGCTTCTTAGAGATTGAGAACCACTTTCCCTGGCCACAGCAGCAGTATTTAGTAAGTTGGTAAGTAAACAGACCAAGAAACAGACTAAGAAAGCAGCTGGTGCAGGTGACATGCAGTGGGCGTGGTCGTTAATTATTGCAATAACCATTAATAATTTTATTAGGCGAATAGTTCGAATAGTAAAAAAAACTATTCGAATATTGCTTTAACGAACGAATACTCGAATATCTCACTATTCGTTTCAGCCCTAATGCATATGCTTCTTTAATATACATTTGGTGTCACTTGGTGATATCAAAAATCCGTGCATAATGTACCAGCCAAAAGCAGTAAATATGCATGTACATGTACATGTACAATGTATCAAAGAGTGTAGGAAAACAGTCAGAATAAAGGCATTCATAAAAATGACAGCATAATGAAACATAAACAATCTACACATACAGTGTACTTACTTATAATGTTACTCAAGGTAGATGAAGTCAACTCCAGATCTAAAAAGAATAAAACACATAACTACTGTAACTGCATGTACATGTACAATACTACATTGTACACAACACCACCTGTGGAACACTTGGACATTAAACACACAATTACATGTACATAAAATACCATGAACATGTACATGTACATAAAACGTTATAACGTTATAACGTTATATGTGAATTAAATTATGCATATCAAAGGTACGAGCCAAATGTGCATGCTCAGTAGAGGCACTCAAAGGTAAAGGTCAGGTAAAAAGAAATTAAAGAGAAAGAGAAGACAGAAAGCCAAAAAATTGAAAAGGTTGAAACTAGTTGATCCAAATCCAATGTGGAAAACGAGTAGGCTATAACTACATTTGTAAATGTATACAAAAAGTCGTGGCAGCCATTTTGTTTGGCGGTGAATCCTACTTAGTAACGCTACCGCGTTACTAATATGTCCATGCAAGACTTACACTATCAGATTATACATGTACATGCACACTACAGTGTATGCCTGTAGAAGTGTACATGCATGTACATGTATCAAATGAAAATAAACACTAAAATAATTGAACTGACCTTTATTATCTGACAAAGGATGAATGTCTCCGTTTGCAATGTTTTTTACTTGGCAATGCTCATGTAACAACAATTGAAGTGAACTACATGTATAAGTAAAAATGTACATTAAAAGCTAAAATGACTGGACATGCAACCATTAACAATAACATGCAACAATAGGCCACTTAATTAATACTACACAAATGTACATCAGTACATGTATATTCATTCTTTCAGTAGAAATACAGTAGATGTCGTTAATTTATGTGCAAAACTATAATGCCATTTCAGAGTCAATTTCAGAGTCAATTTACTATGGAGTACAATGGGAAAAGTACATGTAATTATTATACATGTATGTATATGTAATAATAGAACCTAACTCAAGTAAACTCTGCAAATCTGCATGCATGCAAATTTGCTTTGCTCAAATTTAATCTGAATATGATTTTTTCAATCTTGAAAAAATTATTAAGCTCCCCAAATGCACTTTACATGTAACACTAAGGGAGATGTACATGTCCATTTACTTCAAATCTCAAGACTTAAAACACAAAGTTGATTCTTGGCAAACCTGTGAAGTGAACTTGTTGACGTAGTTGTTTGCATAATACTTCTAATTAACGACACACCTTCAAACACCTGCATAAAATGTATTATTGAACAGATTAAAATTAGTGCAAATTACACATGTACATATACATGCATTGCACATTGTGTATGATATACCATCTATCTGGAAATTTTCACTGTGATTTTAATTTTACCGGATTTCCTGATCTACGGTTTGTGAAAGCTTATTCATTTTATAAGGAAAAGTGCATACTAAATTGTAAAGATTAGATAAAATCAATTCATATGAAAGTAAGAATGGCCTAGGGTGCAAAGTACATTGAACTTCTATGCCAAAAAAACAAACTTCGCCACTCTTAATAATTCCCAAGCACTATTGTATACATCATAAAACCACATTTAATATAGCAGTATTCATCACTTTCTACTCAATATGCAAATACAATGTAAGCCGCAAAGTTACTTAAGAATACAGCATACATGTGTATATATGCACTGCACATACAAAGCATACAGGTCCAGTAAATGTACATGTAAGGCAAACATAACCAAATTAATGAAGTGAATCACAATCAAAGCCATTTGAAGAGACTTAGTAAATTTAAAAATATGACACAACTCACTGGAACTATTGATGTTTCTTTCAACCCAATATCAATGAGCAAAGCTGTTGAACTTCCCAAACTGAACAAACAAGCTGATGGATGAGGTAAAAAACAAACATGGGGGACCTAACAATAAAACATAAAACATCACTGTGAGTAAATTATTACACATGTACTGTACCTACAGAAAAATGAATAAATAGAGCCTTTGCTAATGTGTTTCTGAAATTTAATGGTGACACAATTGATTCAATAATGACAATCCTATACTCTCGAGGATTAATAATCAGGTATCTAGAAAGGATAACGATAACTAAAATCACAATTTCAAACAATTACAGAATCAAATCATTACACATTAAATGATCACTATTTCTACTACAATGCACATGCATGTACATGTACATCTTCAACAAAATTTGCATTTCATTTCATTTTACATCTACAAAATCACAATTTTATGGACTATCAGACTCAATTAAATTAAAATAATGCCTATTTGAAAATTCTTGCATGATCTATTTTTTGAGAAATTCTAATTCAGAAAAATTAAAATTATTGCCCCATCACAGTCTTATTGCACAAAATTAAATGTAAATCAAAGCACAATTTAAAAACACAAAATTTTCTACTGCATTAATTTCTTGATTTATAGTAACCAAACTTTTTGTCGGGTACCAAATTTAATGGGGAGTAATTTTCACTATTTTTGCGTCAACACTATTTTATGAAAATTCAACCCAACAAAATTCTTTATTTCAACACATCTTAATGGCTTTAAAAAGGAAATGTAAAATTAAAAGACAGTGAATTTAATATTTCCCAAAAATTGTCAAAATTTAACATCGCAAATATTAACTCTGTACAGGAACAAATATTGCAGTACATGTAATTGCCACTACACATGCAACTACATGTACATGTACATATACACCACTTTAATCAAGGTGTAAATGAAGAAAATGTACTTGGCAACCAGATGCACTTAGCTACTAGAATGAATACTAAAGTTTTTCAGTGCATTCAAAGGGGTCCCTCCTTAAATTATTCTTTTCCTTCTTCCCACTTTTTAATGTAAAAACTGTTGGTATCAAAAGTACATGTAAATTTCTATTGTGCTTATATGGTCACACGATGAAATTCCAACACTGGCTAAATTGTTTACTCATCACCTATCCCACAACACATACATGCATGCAGTCATGTAGATGTACATCATACATGTACAGCTGCGTTAGGGCATATACATGTACATGTATAGTCACATTAATTAAATACTTTATTCTCAGTTTTCAACAAATAAAAAACACAAAAATACCCATTTCAATAATAATCCAATCTCAGGAAGTGCTTGTAGGATCTTAGCAACCTTGGTAGATGAAGACTCACATGTACCATGTACATGTACACAGCATAAGCAAATAACTTTGTCTAAAGAGAACCTTACAAACTTCAAAGCTAATTCAATGGTGCTTTTGGACATAATAAATATTGCTTTGAACTACGATATACTTATATCACAAAAAGGAAAGGCAATTAAAACTTAGGTCATTTTGACACTGTAAAATTAGGGTACAGTACACACATTACATTTAATGCACGTACAAGTACAATGTATACATGTACAAGTACAATGTATACATGTACAAGTACAATGTACAATTGTACATGCATGTACACGCAACATGCATATTTGCCAATTTTACTTCACTTACTCAAGAAAAACTTTATGAAGAAATCGACACAATATAAGATACAATTCTTCTCTATTAATATACTTATCGTCCCATACATTGAGAATCTAAGAAATCTTAAACTCAGCTTAAATAAAAAAATAGATTAACTAACTTCACCATAAGGTTTCATTAAAACTTCACTTTTGACAATATAACGAGGAGCTGGCTCCCCAGAAACACCTAACCTACAAAATAACAAAAAATACAAGTAAAACTTTAACATTGAAAGGAACAAAAGACAATAACCTAACATATCACATACACATACATTGTACATGTATATGCATGTTTGATCAGGTATGTAATACTAGAACAAAATGGTCAAAAACAAGAAAAGCCTAGGACTTTTTTTGCATAGATGTAGGCAATAGAGGAGAGAGGAAACTTCTACATGTATGTGGATGTACATGTACAAGTAGATGCATGCATGTGCATGTACGTATAGTTGCATGCATACTGACTTGAAACCAAATGACAGAATAAATGGCAAAAGTGAAGAAAACAATAATGGCTTAACTCAAATGAGCACAAAAAGGTCTTTTAAAGCATGCTAAATAATTAATTTTAACAAAAATTCTTGATTTATTGAGTCCTACATGCACATCATGACATATATTTCCCTTCCATAGTGAAACAATCCAGGCTCAATAAAGCATATGTGTAAAGTTACACGTACGTGTATGTAAGTGGATCATCTCAAAAAATAATAATATCTGTGAGTTTTGTCATTCACAGATCTAGAGGTCTAATATACATGTACATGCATAAAAGGAGTCCTTTAAGTCTTCACAAGCATATCAAAAGTGGAAAAAGGGAAAAGTCAATTTAATGTTTAAACCAGGGTCAAACGAGCTACACTCAAAAAGCATCAACATTTTAATCACCACTTTATTTTAATACAGCAGATTCCTCTCCCATTTGACTATGGACGCTGGAGCAGGGAAAGGGATTGGAAATGCCTTAATATTGCTGGGGACAGGATTTTTTATGACATGAAGTAGGCGTGGTTAATTATCTGGTCCAGACTTCTTCTCTACTGGCATTTTCTTTTGCTCTACAAGACTTGCTTCTTCTTTCTGAATTCAATTTGTAAGTGTCAGACTCATTCTTACTTAACATAATAAACAAAAATAGCTGATGGATACTGCATGATCTTTCCTATATTTTGAAAACCTGTGCCTAATTAGTGTTTATGTGCACCTTTATCTCCTACTGGTACTTTTTCAAAACTAGTTATTATAATCATGTTTTGAGAAACATGTTGGTGAATGGTTTTACAGTTTTAGTCTAAGTGAACTACATGTACATGTATATAGCATATTTCCTTTACAGCTATTTTTTAGTTTGCGCAGTAGGGTACCTTTGTGTACCTCTAGAGTACTAAGTGTATCTTTTGCTACTACAACCACTTCATTTTCTATATTGTTACATACATGTGTCTTTTACTTTAATAGATCATAACCATGGGTAGGAATTGGCTCCTGTTGATGACAAGGATTTTCCAAATTTCTCAGCCAATTCCTCAACTACTGGAGTTGATTTACATCTTTCTTTTACTCGTTAATAATTAAATGAAGACAAGAAGAAACTCTTGTGCAGTTTTTGTGTATTTAATATTTAGGAAACTCTAAAAATGCTTCAAAGAAGCAACAAGACTTGTACAGTTTGGTTTTGCTTAGATACAAGAGGGTTAAAAATAACAAAATTAATCAAGCTTTGGCGGCTTCACTGCATAATGCCCGTCCCCACTCCAATAATAAGGCATTTCCAATCCCTTTCCCTGCTCCAGTATCCATGGTTTAACTTTGAACATTGCATGAAGCACTAGTTATTTTCCATGCATGGTTTATTTAGCACACATGATGCCAACACAATATTCAAAATGCAGTTGTATCTGCTGTAATTTGGAGGGTCATATTGAACTAATCATAAAGTGTATAGACCCTTTGCAGAAGGGTGTGGTCGGGCGTGGCAAATTGATGTGGCGGCCATCTTGGAGTACAACATGGTGAACTTCTGTGCTGTTGTAGGTTGCTCAAAGCCTCAAACCGTTGGGACAAAGACACAAACAAGTCTTTTTATTGTTTGCCAGGGATCTTCAAACACCAAGGACCTGAGACTGAATCTAGAAGGCAAAGAGAATGGCTTGCTGCCATAAATAGGTCTGGCATAAAGACCAGCAAATACCACTGAGTATACTTGGGTATGTTCACACCATTTTATTAGTGGTTGTCCTAGTCAATTAAGCCTTGGCTATATCAGAACTGCTTCAATAAGCCCAGCAACTAGTAATGCACAGCCTAGCACTTACAAGAGCAAGTAAAAA